ATGGAGGACGTAATGCTTGGGATGAAAGTTGGGGGGAAGGGGAAGGAAGGTGCTCTGGAAAAGAAAGAAGGAGAGGGAGATAGATAGCATAGAGGAGAATGGAAAGAACAATAAAATTTGAAAGGGGAAAGAAAGAGGGAAAAGGGGAGAGAAAAATAAAATAAAATAAAATTAGGTCTTAGAGATCCATTTTCTTCTCTTCCCGTAGGCAGAGCTGTGCCCTCCGATCTGAGTTTTGCCCTCAATGTGTCAACAGCAATCCCTGTAAGGCGGCTCCTGGGAGTCTCTCAATCCTGTTGGTCCAGAGCCATTTCACTTCTACGGCCCCTCCTCCCCTTCCTCCTGCCAGCCAGCCAGGTCCTGCTCACCGGAGGCAGTTCCCCAAGGATCTGGTTAGACTTTCAGCCCCACCGCGTGCCCTATTTCCTGAACGAATGAGCACTCTCTCTGTCATTCATCTAAGCTCCAGTGCTGTGGAGCTGTGGTCTGGGAGTTAATAGTTTAATTTTTCCGGACCCCTTTGGTGGGCACACCCTCGGAAGCTGGCGGCTAAGACCTTTGGTGTCGCCACTGGTGGTAATGGGAGTTGGGGGTCGAGGATCCCCTCTGCTTCCCTCAGCCCCTACAATCACGACCACTCCGCTGGTGGTAGGAGGAGTTGGGGGTCTGGAGTGTCCCCTGTTTCCCTCCGCCCCTACCGTCACACCCTCTCCGTTGGCGGTTGGGGGAGTTGGGGGTGGGGAGTCTTCTCTGCTTCCCTCCGCCCCTACAGTCACGCCCACATCACTGGCAGTAGGGGGAGTTGGGGTTCGGGAGTCCCTCGGCCCTTACGGTCACGCCCACGGAGAGATTTTTGAAGTTTCCCGGTTGTTTGTATCTGATGTGGGTGGGAGTCACACACCTGCTAAAGTAGATTCCGCTGGGAAGGAATCTCATTGGCCGAACTTTGGTGACTTCCCCTCTCTGCTATGGCAGGCCCCTGGCTCCTTGCCGGAGTGTCCGAAGGGAGGGGTGGGACTGGCTTGTCTCTGGTCTGACTCAATCTCTGGTTTTAGTTCCCAGTTCGCTATTTCATAAAGGCTTGGTTAGAGTCCCTTCAGGTCGCCTCCTGAGCCGGGCGGGCGGGGGCCGTTTGCTGTGCGGGTGGGGCCGTTCACGGAGCAGAGCGGGCGGGGGGCCGTTCGCCGAGCCGGGAGGGTGGGGGCCGTTTGCCGGGCCAGGCGTGGACCCTTCTCGCCACGCCGGGCCGCCGGGGAGAGCTGGGCAGAGCCGGGCAGGCGGCGGCCGGCGGGACTGGACCTCTGCGCAGCGTGGCCGAGATTCACCCGTCTGGGACAAACTGTCACCTCTAATAAACTTACTAATTCCCGGCAGGTCTCCTTTCATAGGAATTTTGCTAGAAGTTCCTCAGCAGGTAGAATCCAGGCGTATTAATGGGTCTTTCTGATCCCGTTAATGTGGAGATACTGAAAGTGCTGCTTCCTCGCCGGCCGCCATGTTGGGTCCCCCATTTCAGTTTTAACAGAAACAGAGGGGCTGGTATCCAACCAAAAGACTGCTACTCAGGGGGCTACCAGGAAAACAAAATCCTATCCATGGACTAGAGCCCTGATAACTGATTTGGGAAAGGGAACGATTACTCAGTCTTTCCTCGTTATGCCTGATTGCCCCTATCCTCTACTGGGAAGGGACTTATTATAGAAACTACAGGCCACTATTATTTTCCAAGAAAGTTCAGCTGAAGGGAGGAGAGGGAGGAAGGATGTAGAAGTAGAACAAAACAGACATTATTGCTTTATGTATTTATGTATTTATGTGACTGCATGACCAATGTGATTTTATAATATGTACACTCAGAAAAGTGAGAAATTATATCCCACCTATATATGATATATCAAAGTGCATAAATGCAATCTATTGTCATCTAGTACTTTCTGACCCTGGGTAAGAGACTTAGTTTTTCCCAATCCTACTTTTTAAATTCATAACTTAGGTCAGCAATACCTGCTGAAATTGTGAGGATAAAATTAGATAAATTATGTTAAGCACTTACCTCACTGCCTAGTAGTTAAAGTTCCCTTTTATGAGCATCTTTTGCTCAAGCCCAGATATTTAGCAAGTATCATCACCTTTCAAAGTCTATCCATTTCATCAACTTAATAGCTCCAGTATAGAAGGAGACATGACCCACATTTTATAACACTTGGATTTTTAAGCAGGCAGTAACTAAATCCTTTAGGACACTAAGTTCTCTTGTATCTTTACTAGTAGTTACTGTTAATTTCTAGAACTCAAAAAGGATTGTAATAATTTTCAATTTTACTGGTACTTAGTACTAATTCATGATAAATTTGCCATCAATGGTGCTATTTTTTAAACGTGTCTACCGAAGTTCATGTACTGAAACTTAATCCAACAGTACTGAGAGTTGGGACATTTAAGAGGCAATTAGGTTGATAGGGTTCTGCTCTCATCAGGAGAATGAATTTTTTTATGGTGAGAGTTTGTTATAGAAGCAAGTTTGATCCTCTCTTCTCTCTCTCATGTTTTATTACCCTTCCGCCTTTAGACATGGGATGATGCAGCTTTTACTAGATGTGGGCCCCTCAATCTTATACTTCCTGGCCTCCAATACTGTGAGAAATAAACCACTGTTCTTTATAAATTACCTGGTTTCAAGTATTCTGTTATAGCTAGCATAAGGTAGATTAAAACAATCAGCAATACTAATTATCTTAAGAATTACTCATAATAAGTTGAATGGGTATTAAAATAATATTTCATTGCTGTTTTTATTTTCTCTATTTTTGTTTTTAGTCCTAACCTTTTCACAGATATGAGTTAAGCATGGAAGATGTGTAGTGAAAAAAAGGCACCTTGTACAGTGACTCTCTTCAGATCTAAGCCCTGGTCTTATGACCTCAGGCAAGTAATGTACTCTTGCTAGGCCTGTATTGTTAATGTTTTTTAAATGGGTTAGACAATTTAGTTAGGGTTGTTGCCATCATTATAAAATTAATTTATATGAAAATTCAAAATGCTAAGAAGAACCAAGACGCTCTTGAAGGGTAATGTAGAATAATTTGTTTTGTCAAATATCAAAATTTTTAAAATAAAGCTAGATTAATAAAGACATGTGGAGACAAGTGCATGGAGTACTGCATACATGGCATACGTTAAAGGCGTCTGAGTGGCAGGCCATTCCCCTTGTGTTAGGCATATGAGTGCAGGCCACTTACCCCGTAGGCATAGCCCTGGGCATGAGGCCATGTGTTGCAGTCCTTTGTGCTTGCTCCACGGCCCACTCCTCGATTGGTGGATTGGTCGCAGTAAGGGCAGTTAGCAGAAATTGCATTGGTGGCTGCCTGTAATCTGCTTAGCTACTGCCTGTGTGTGTGTGTGTGTGTGTGTGTGTGTGTGTGTGTATATATATATATATATATATATATATATATATATATATATATAGTAACTGCGCAATAAAATCAGACCTGCTTCCTGCTTGGTCTCCAGAGTTCTTGATTAGTGACTCCGCAGCCACACTCTCCTCTACCCTGTTCCATGGACCTCCTCGATGGACGAGAGAGAGCCCACACAAAGACAGTATTGTATTGGTGCAAAGATATACAACATTCATTTTCAGTAGATCAGTAGAACAGAATGAGGAGTATAGATACAGTCCTATACTTTTATAGATACTTGATATATGCTATAGGCAGCATGCAGAACAGTAGGCATATGATATTTCAGTAAATGGTTCTGGAACATCATGTATATTCATACATAAGAGAGTAAATCAGAACTTCTATCTTATACCACACCCGAATTCAATTCCTGAGGAATTGTGGATCTATCTGTGAAAGGCAAAACAATAAATATTTTGGGAGATCACACAGGAGAATATCTATATGAATTTGCAGTAAGAAAAGTTTTCTTATATAAACACAAAAAGCATTAGCCATGAAAAAAAATAAATTCACTTGAATTTATTAAAATTGAGATCTTCTATTCATCAAAAATCACCTTAAAGAAAATGAAAGGCAAGCCAAAGAGTGGCATTTGCAACACTGTGACAAAAGGTTTATATACAGGATTTTAGGAAGGACTAAGAATCAGAAGGAAAATAACAAAGCAATAGAAAAATGGTTAACAGATACTTCAGGTGCTCAAGACTGTAAGTCATTAGAGAAATACAAATCAAAACCACACAACCACTGAATATCCATCAGAGTACTAAAATTGGAAGGATTAACATAGTACAGAGGGTTTGCTGGAATATGGAGCAGGGGAATTTTCATTACATGGTTGGTATGGGTGTACATGGTATACATGAGCAGAACCTCTTTGGTAAATTGGATGGCAGTATAGAAACTGAATATATACCTACTCTGTGACCTTGTCCTCCTCCCCTCAGAAATGGCATGCATGTGTGCAACAGAGTCATAGGTGTAGGAAAACTTGTAGTAGTGTGATTTATATTAGTTCCAAGTCAGAGAAAATGGATGAATTTCCATCAACAGTATAGTAAATAAGTAAATTGTGCTATGTTTTTACCTTGGACTACTATATTATAGTGAAAATGAACAAACTTAGCTCACACACAGCCTGGATGAATTTCAGAAACATAATCTTGAACAAAATAACCCCAACATGGGGGCTGGGGTTGTGGCTCAGTAGTAGAGCACTTGTCTAGCATGTGTGAGGCCCTGGGTTCGATTCTCAGCACCACATATAAATAAAATAAAGGTCCATTTACAATATAAGCCCTAACACAAAGAATACTATGTAATCCCACATGAACAGGCTTCAAATTTACATGCTATTAAACTTAAATATTGAAAATCAAGATGATATTTATGCTTGATAAGGAGAAAGAGGAGTTAATTGGGGAGAGAGGGAATAATCTGCTAGGGTACTTGGCTGTGCTCTACTTCTAGATCTCCCTTCTGGTTACATGGGTGCTTGCTTTGTTATAGTTTATTTTATTATAATTGTTATTTTTTCATCAGAACTCTTACATGCTATTAATTATTATACCTTACAGAGCATCAGCTCATCAATTCAAATCATTTGAAAATTTTATTATTATTATTTTGAGATGAGGTCTTGCTGTGTTGCCCAGGCTAATCTTTTTTTTTTTTTTTTTAATATTTACTCTTAAGTTTTAGGTGGACACAATATCTTTATTTTACATTTATGTGGTGCTGAGGATCGAACCCAGTGCCTCATGCATGCTAGGCAAGCACTCTACCACTGAGCCACAACCCCAGCACCCCCAGGCTAATCTTGTATTCCTGGGCTCCAGTGATCCTCCTGCTTGAGCATTTCAAGAGCTGCAACTACAAGGCTCATACCACTGTGCCCAGCTCCAATTTATTGAGCTGAACATTTATGTTTTGTACATTTTTCTTTGTGTAACACTTCAATAGAAAAAGAAAGAAAGAAAAAAAACTACCCTGTTTTTACCCAGTAAATATTCCATTCAAGATTTTTCATTTTACACTTTCATCTAATTTATGAGCATATACATGTGTTCTTTGCTCATTAATCTGTTTTGGTCTTGGATGTTGCACTTATGAATTTGATTGATTAGTAGGAAAAGTTCTAGCTGGGACACATACAGAAAGTGAAAATTCACTTGCCCTTGAAAATTCACATGATCCAACTGATTGTGTAATCCACAAAGAATATAATTTTTCAAAAGTTGACAGCTGTAATGAGACTATCTTATGATTCATTTATTGTTTCTTTAATTTTTTTAAACTGGGGGATGATATTGACTAAATTATATAATTGTCATTCTGACTGGAGTAAGATGAAATCTTAGTGTAGTTTTAATTTGCATTTCTCTAATTGCTAGAGTGTTGAACATTTTTTCATATATATTTTGACCATTCATATTTCTTCTTCTGTGAAGTGTTTGCTCAGTTCCTTTGCCCATTTATTGATGGGGTTATTTATTTTTCTGGTGTTAAGCTTTTTGAGTTCTTTGTATAACCTTGAGATTAATGCTCTATCTGAGATACAGGTGGTAAAGATTTTTCCCATTCTGTAGGATCTCTGTTCACACTCTTGATTGTTTCCTTTGTTGTGAAGAAGCTGTTCAGTTTTGTGCAATTCCATTTATTGATTCTTGATTTTACTTCTTATGCTTTAGTAATCTTATTGAGGGAGTTCGTTCCTAAGCCGACATGATAGAGAGCAGGGTCTACTTTTTCTTTTAGTAAGCACAGGGTCTCTGGTCTAATGCCTAGGTCCTTGATCCACTTAGAGTTGAATTTTGTGCAGAGTGAGAGAGAAGAGTTCAATTTCATTCTATTACATATGGATTTTCAGTTTCCCCAGCACCATTTGTTGAAGAGGCTATCTTTTCTCCAATATATGTTTTTGGTGCTTTTGTCTAGGATGAGATAACTGTATTTATATGGATGTGTCTGTGCATTCTATTCTGTTCCATTGGTCTTCAATTCTGTTTTGGTGCCAATACCAGTCCGTTTTTGTTACTGTCGCTCTGTAGTATAATTTAAAGTCTGGTATTGTGATGCCTCCTGCATCACTTTTCTCACTAAAGATTGCTTTGGCTATTCTGGGCCTCTTATTTTTCCAAATTTAATTTTATGATTGCTTTTTCTGTTTCTATGAAGAACATCATTGGGATCTGTGTAACACTTTTGGCAGTATGGCCAATTTGATAATATTAATTCTGCCTATCCAGGAACATGGGAAATTTTTCCATTTTCTGAGGTCTTCAATTTCTTTCTTTAGTGTTCTGTAGCTTTCATTATAGAGGTCAGTCGTGGATCTTACAGCCCCTCCCCCTTTAAATGGTACTGTTGTAATAAAATGCTGCAAGTTCTGTGTGAGCATTGAGCATTAAACTGTAAATTTAGGTCTTTCCCCCTCCAATGTATAGAGATATTTTTACATTTTTATAAAGCTGACCAGAGCTACTGGGCCAGATTCTTTTTGTGATGTTATCAGAAGTTATTTTGGAAACCTTAGGCTAGAATAAGTTAGGATATGGGTGTGAAGATTTTTCTGTAAGACAAATCAGGCTGCTTTTCCGAGACTTCTTTTTTCCTTCTTTTATTGTGGAAAATTTCATACATAAATTTGGAGAGCATAGAATAATGGATACTCAATATCTCATTACTCAATGCAGTAAATGTCAAAGTGTTGATCTATACTCATATTGTAATGTTATTACTGATTTGAGGTTTTACATTACTTATTATAATCCATATTTTTTCTCCAGCATAAAATTAACTTGCCACTAGATGGTGCTCAATGTTTAAAGCCTAATTTGGATAAGATCCATCAAAGTCATAGAGCATTCCAGATTTGCTGGCACAGTTATGATTTTTGTTTTACTACCATAAGTGTCCTTGAACTTCATGTCTTAATATTTTAGTGAGAAACATTAAAGAGGTAGAAATTAAAGTACTTATAACGTTATATTAAACTTGCTTATATAAATATATACTTAATATAGATATACTAGATGCAAAATCATAAGGACAAACCAAAAATATACCTAACATAGTCCCAAGCCCTGGCATTTGTGTATTTGAAAAGTAAGGCTAATTAATCAAGCCCAAGAATTCTCTACCTCCTCCCTAGTTTCTCTCTCTCAGATGCCTATGGCTATAACCTCTACGATAGCTATAATTCTGAAATGATAGTATTTATAATATGCTGGTTAGACATTGGGATGTTAACAGCATTCAAAATAAAATTCTATATAGGACATATTGAATCAAAATTCTCCAACACAATTATTTAACATTTGCATTTTTGTGGCCATGCAACAGTGGTTGTGTCTGTGGAAATCTATGTAATCTTTCAAAACTGGAAACTGTATTAGGAACAAATATAAAACACACCCATGCTAATTAGTACTTAGAGAAAAATGTCTTCACTTTAAAAAAAAAAAAACAAATAACAGGTTGGATTTGCAAATCCCACGGTCCACGTTAAACAGATATAATTAACTCTAATTAATAAAGTGAATAAGAACTTTTAATTAAATCAGAGTAACTGCATTGGTTACAGTCAGAAAGACGCATGAACATCTGCTCTCTAGGAGATATGAACTATGCGTTCCTTGTTCCTCTGCTCTGGAAAATTTACCAAGTAAGGAGTACATGTGACTTTTCTGTATTTGATCCTCATGTATCAGAGTAGGTGTCATCCTTAATACTGCATTCTTTTATGAGTGTCTCAATTAGTGTCTTTACCTCCTACTCCTGTAATTTGATGAAGGCAGTCAAGATATAATTGTAGCTTTCCTAACTCACCCTGTTCAGAGTTTTCCCAAGACCTAGATGTTGCTTCAGTGCTAAAATAAAGCCTTAGGGAATTCCAACTTTCTTGTGGACAATTGCAAGAATGTTTATGCTAATATAAGGTGGTAATGGTGAGAGCTTGTGACTTTCAGTTGTGCAGATGCTTTTCAGAATGAATATAGCAACCCTTATGCAGACAGATCATTTGTGGTAGAAAAGTATGTCTTTGGTGTGTCCTCCAAACAGTGTCTAATTGTGAAAATTAGTTATTTAATCAGTACTAACTGATGATGGCCTTTTAAAGCACATTCTGGTATAGATTAGTGCCCTTGGAAACCAAGTATCCAGAATCATATGCAAACGTGGCAAGCTGTTTATGATTCACATCTCACAGCCACTAACAGTTTATTCAAATAACAAGCATAATAGAGTTGTGGAGCTAGTTGGCAGGCATCATTTTTTGGCTTATGGCTGCTTAATGCAACAATTTGAAATCTTCACTATGATTATGTTCAACAGGCTTTGCATTGTCCTTTTGTACTAATGATCTCCGCACCCCCCCCCCCCCAGTACTGAGGATTGAACCCAGGGGCACTCTAGTACTGAAGTACATCCCCAGCCCTATTTATTTTGAGACATAATCTCACTAAATTGCCCAGGCTAGCCTTGAACCTGTGATCCTTTTGCTTCAGCCTTCCCAGTAACTGGTATTACAGGTGATCACCATGGCGTCTGGTCATTGTCCTTGGATTCTTTTTTTTTTTTTTTTTTTAAAGAGAGAGTGAGAGAGGGAGAGAGAGAGAGAATTTTAATGTTCAATTTTTTTTTAGTTATCGGCGGACACAACATCTTTGTTTGTATGTGGTGCTGAGGATCGAACCCGGGCCGCATGCATGCCAGGCGAGCGCGCTACCGCTTGAGCCACATCCCCAGCCCATGTCCTTGGATTCTTAAAGGTACTTTGTAAATATTGGTATGTGGCAAATATTCAATATCTATAGTGTGTTATAACAAGGAAACCATGGTATCAAGAAGTTTGTCCTTTATACCAGTGAGTTCAATATATGCCTCTGGGTCTTTAAATTAGTTATTAGTTCTCATGTATTATTAGTTCTCATTGAGATTTTAAAAATGATCTTGTCTATGAGGTCAAATTGGCTGTATTGAAATCACTGAAATTAATCTAAACTTTCTGATTGATCTGTTTATTGACTAAACATTTGCTTTTCATATTGTATACAATCCCCTAACTTTGACCTTCCAAAGTCATTTTTGCTATAGATAATGATTTATTAATGTATTACCTAATTTGTAAACCATCTTGAGTATTCTACTGATTTGACTTCACATAAGCACATTCTGGTTTTGGTAAAATGTCTGAGAACACAGAGATATCCTTCTCTTGCTGTGATTGAGAAACCCAGGTCTCTAAATGAAAGAGCAGCTGTCTGCCTTTAAATTAGTCGTCAGTACCAACTGGTGATTTTAGAAGCTCATGTGAGTTCTGCTGTGTCTGTTTTGAGTTGCATTTCTATTTCTTAGACCTTGCTTCGGGCAGTGCATTTTGTTATGATGATGTTTACAGATGATTAATATTTAAATACAAATGTCTCTCTTGGAGGTCTTGGAAAGGAAACTAAGGTGGAAAGAAAAGTGAGTGTTTGGACAGCCAACCCTCTGTGGAATTCCAGAATTTTCAGAAAAGCCGTGGCAGCCTCACCACTTTTAAATTAGAAGAACCTGGCCATTTTAGTTATGAAGTTTGGAAAATATAAAATTTTAATCAAACA